GTAGGGAAATACCTCCTTACAATTTTCAGCCCACTAACTCCTGCATTGTTTTCCGTGCTGCCTCCCTTTGTTGCTTTCGGGATGGAGCACGTGATGGCTGCTCCTTTTTAAGTATCCTTATAATGATGAATGCACAACCAAATCAAGATTTTATTCATGGCTTTAGAGAAGGCACCATCAGCATTTCTTCAGGCACGGTTTCATGTGTCTTAAGAGGGTGTAGTATCCATTTTTGGACAGTTCTAGATTCGTTTTTAATTTGCCTTTACAAAAGAATATTACCCCGTGCCAGGCCTTGCCCATGTTTTGAGGATTGCGTCGCCTGGGAATTGAAATACACAGTTTCCTGGAAGAGGCCTACGCGTATGTTCATGGGTTGGGGGGCGCTCCACAAGCTCTTTGTGGGGAGCTCTGCTCGCCAGTTTGTGTGACACGGGTAGTGGCAGGTGGATTCCCATAGAATGCTGCCACTTGGCCCTCGCAATTTACAGTATAGTAACAAACCTGATCCACTGTAAAGGAATTGCGGAATCTGCTTTCTTCTGTGAGGTGAAACTCTGAGATTAGTTTCCTCATCAGTGAGGTGAAGATGATTACTCACAATAACCTTTAAGGTTCTTTGTAGTTCAAAAATCGTACAATTTCAAGTTTTAAGAACTTCCTCCCCCTTTCCCTCCTGCCTCCCTAGATTCGTCATTTGTTCAGCAAATATTTGAGTGGCAGTGGTGTGCCAAGCACAGAATTCTAGGTCCTGGGGAAACAAAAGCCATGAACAAGACAAAGTCCATTTGGGGCAGGAGCTTGGAAGCAGTGTTCAGGCAAAATATCCAAAAGTAATAAGGTCACTTCTCTTTATGCTACTTGTATATATAAGGTATTTGCACCCAATAAATAAGAGAACTCAGAGGCTAATCCTTTATATGCTCTAAAGATGGAAAGTAGTCCATCTTTTGAATGATCTATTTTGTCTTCTATTTGGATTTTTTCTTTTTTTCTCATTTTTGGCTTTATTAAACCTGTCCAGTGAAGTTTTACGGACTCAAGCTGGAATTAAAGTGTATATGACAAAACCTCTTCTAAAAAAATTGTAACTGTACAGTGAGCGCATGCTAGCAATAGGAAGCCCATGGGTTTTGGAACCAGAGAGTTTTGAATCGGTTCTGCCACTTTCTGGGTGTCTCTGGTAATGTCCCTAAAACCAGGAATGTTGAAGTGATGAAATGTGGCTTTCCCCAGGGCACCCAGAAATCAGTCTCCTGGATGCCATCTGGAGTTGTGTGCTTGGCCTCTCCAGGGCCATGTTTTGTGACTCTTGGAAGCAGTGACAGCAGCTGGTAGGGAACATCTATCCCCAAGTTCCCGCAGTCATTCTCAGAGAAGGCACAGCTCTTGATTGATTGATTTATGTATTTATTTATTGGCCGCACGGCTTGTGGGATCTTAGTTCTCCGGCCAGGGATTGAGCCCGTGCACTTATCAGTGAAAGCGCCGAGTCCTAACCACTGGACTGCCAGGGAATTCCCAACTCTTGTTTTAATTGACTGTTTTATTTATTGCCTTGTTCCAACATGTGGTTTAAGTTTACCTCTGATGAATTAAGCTTATAGAGTGTTTAAGCTAAACAAAACAAAACCCCCCAAAAGTGTGTTAGAGTTGTAGCTAACTTTGCAGAGAACTGATGATGGGCTGGAAAAATACCTTTGGGCTGACCAAGTGAAGGGGCAAAGGCTGTCCCAGGGTAATGGGAGAGAGCTACCTTTGATTTTATAACCTTTGAGGATTCCTGTTGCTTCGGACTGTGTTACAGCAGCAAAGTTCAAATAAGCAATGATTTCATTCCACAGTATATGCATATTTTCTCATGGGAAAAGATGCCCCTTAGCGGTGTGGCACTGTCACTGTATGACTACCACAAGTTTTTTGATATGTGGTACACAGAAAAGCAGGGGGAAATGTATTGAATGATGTGGCTGCTTTCTGAAAAGTCTCAGGCCAATCCTGTTTCTTCACAGGCCCTTTGAACTGATCCCCTCTGCAGATGGCCTTGTTGAGTGGCCACTAGATGGCAACCTGCGGTTCAGACAGGGTGACTCAACGGCCTGTCTCCCTGATGGGGGTTAGTCCACAGTCTCCGCAGGACGAGACCCCTTTAAAGCAGATTAAACCCTTTATTGACAGTATCGTCTCTAACCCATCCTTAATACATACATGAAGTGAAAATTTTACTTTGGGCATTTTATGCTTGACACTCCAGATGAGCTCCCTGAGCGTCTTGCAGGTGTAGGGACGTCTTTGCCAGAGTGGCTGGACTTGCTTCCAGGCACGCTGCAGAACGTCATATTCACCTTGCAGCGACTTTATTTTCTTTTAGCTATGCAGTGGTCATCTAAATGAGTGGTTCCTGCTCTAGAATCCGTTGAAACAAACAACTGCTCTTCTTCCTTTCATTGGGCAGGACTAACTAAACTAAACCACTGGCCCAAATCTGGCCAGTTTCCTGTGGTTTTCATCCTTAACCTTCTTTCCAAATGAAGAGGGGAACCTTGGCCTTAGGTGTTTTGGGGTTAGCTGGTTTCCCTCCTCTTTGATCCTCCCCCATATTATTACTAATAAAATATTATTCGTTATTTATATACCTGGTAAGAAAATTGAGCCATACAGTAGAGTGCCCAGTGCAAGGTAAGCCCTGTTCCCACTCTCCTGCCTCACAGGCTCTGCTTACTGCTTTCTTGTGCATCCTTTTAGCCTCCAGCAACCCTCATTTGGGTTCTGGCAGTAAATCTCTATAACTAGGCTATCAATCAGTGTCTCTTTTTTTCATTCCCTAACCTTTCTCCACAGAGATCCAGAGTGGGATTTTCAAGATGGAAGCCTGATCACGGTCTCTCCCATGATAGGAGGTGGCTTCCATTGTTTCTAGGATTCAAAAAAAAACCTCCCAAAACAAACAAACAAAAAACCCCACTGTGGACCACACAAACCCTTTGTGGTCTGGCCCTACCTCCCTTTCAGCTTCATCTTGGACCATTTCCCCTCTTACTCTACCCAATCTAGTCACAGTGGTTTTCTTTTAGTCTTTGGACTTGGCATGCTCCCTTCTGCCACTGGGCCTTTGCACATACCGTTCCTTTAATGTGGAAAGCCCTCCCCTCCAAAAACATGTAGTTTCCACCTGTCTTTCAGCTCTCAGCTTACATGTCAGTCCCTTAAAGAAGGGTTTTCTGCCTTCTAAAATAGTCTAATTTTAATCTTTTCTAGTTTTCAAAAACATCAAGAAGAAATAAAGCACATTCTAAATTGTTGTAGACTCATAGAAATGAAATGAGTATACTGTAGCTTTTGACTTTTAGGTATTTTATCATCTCAATAGATCCTGGGGAGTTTTTTGTAGATAGCTACCAAAAAAAAAAAAAAAGCTTTCACAAATTTATTGCTAAAAATACATTAGTATGCTCTATTATGAACCATATTGTAGTTTATAAAGTATGTAAAATATTTACATTGATACTACTTGTAATATATATTGTCTATACTTAGTAGGAGGTAAAAGCTCTACAGAGAAACGCAAGGGTACACATGCAGCATTGAAAAGCTTTAATAGTGTCAGTGAAAATGATGAGTCTTTGTTTTCATTTTTAAGGGCTAGATGTTATGAACAGAAAATTAGTTTGTAACAATAACCAATCAGTCTACTTAAGAAAACTAAACAGTGTGTCTCTTACCTATGAAAATAGATGGTTATCACTAGGGGCTCCCTGGAGAAATAGCTGATTTCAAGTTTAGGGTAGAGAGATTACAAGGTGAGCTAGAATATCTTGTGCCAGAAAGTGAGGACATACGTGCTCAGAGACTGACGGGGACATGTCAGAAGGACACTGGAGCCAGCTTGAAGGGGCCAATGCCCAAACAAGGACAATTTATGCATCAAAAAGAATGAAGACAGTAGCAGATTATAACACTGAGTAAAAGGCAAAAATCCTTAAGTCCAGAAAGTAAGAAAGATGGTGAGTAGAACTCTTTATAGAACAGTTCCAGCCTGTAAGTGTAAAAGCATGATAGAATTAGAAAAATCACCATTTTGTACCTTCAGACGTCAGACTGATTCAGGCAGGGCTCATCAACAGATGCTAAAATGTTTCACCTGGTGAAATGTTGTTGAGGAACAGGATTGTCAGTCTCAAGGTATCATCCCCCAGGTTACACACCATTTCAGAAGGGCAAAGAGGACCGTTAAGTGGAGAATCTGGTGGACGCTACCTTCACCAAATGAAGCAACTTAATATCACCAGTAATGGGACAGACTGACGTTATGAGCCTCCTCACGGGGTATACTGAGAAGGACATCACGTGGAGAGTTCTTATCATGAGTACTTAATCTAAATATAATCATAGGGACATTATCTGACAGACTGAGATTCTGCAAAACAACTAGTCTGGTCTTTTAAAAAATGACATTGTCAAGAAAGACACAAAAAAGGCAGGACACCTTCTAGATGCTAAGGAGATAGATACCTGAAAGCAGTGCATGAGCCTTGATTGGATCCCGGATGAAAAGAAACAGCTGGGGGAAAATTGGGAAATTTGCACATGGGTCATATATTAGCTCAGAAAGTTAACATTTCTAGGATATTAAGAGTGATGATGGCATTGAAGTGTTTAGGAGTAAAGTGGCATTATGTTGGCAACTTACTTTCAAATGGTACAGAAAAAAGTGCATGTATGTGAGAGCGAGCACAAATGTGACAGTGCTCATGGTGAACCCGGGGGATGGGTATATGGGTGTGTATTTACTAGGCCTTCAACTTTTCTGTACGTTTGAAATTTCTTAAAATAAAAAGTGTAGGAAGAAAATAGCTCATCGTGGACATGTTCCAACTCCAGGGTTTTTATTGTCTTTTGGTATTGTGTTTTATATTACTGCCCCACGTTAAAAAGAAAAACAAAAAACTCGGGTTATAATTTGCCTTTATTCTGTTTTTCTAGATGTGATACAACAGAAAAACTCAGAAATACTTTGGATTACTTAAGATCATTATTAAATGATTCTACAAACTTTAAACTTATTTACAGATATGCGTTTGACTTTGCACGGGTGAGTTCTCTGGAGCCTATCCAGATGTTTCCCTCTCTCTCCCTCCCCTTTTGAGGTTTGTTTTACGTACTACAGCAAGGAAGTTGAATAAGCTACTCCCAGGATGCTGGTTAGGATTTCTCTCTGTGTACCCTTTCTACACTAACTGATTCTGGGCAAGAATGTAGTATGTCAGCAAAAAGCTCTAGTGACAGACTATTAATAGCTCTTGAGATTGACTTAGAAGTAACTTGTAAATGGGCATGTAATAGACACTGTTCTAAATGTCTCTTAGGTAAGCTTGACAAATCTTTTCCTTCTCACGAAACAGCAAGGCTTCACCCATTGAGTTTAGTGGAATAAGTTAGTCAGATCAAAGCCAGTTTCATTTTGGGTGCTATATTGTATCTGAAAATCGTTTGAATTTCAAATGTAAGCTAATTTCAGTGGACGTTATTCAAACACAGTTTCTAGTCATCATTTTGAAAAGTGATCATCTTGTTTGTCACGTAGTGAGCCAGTCCAAGTAGGTGAATAGGTGGTTCTACTGGACTGACATAAAGCTGTATTTTTCAGCCTGGTCACCGTAGGTAGCGAATTCTGAGGTATAAGTTGGCATTGTGTTCATTCACTGTCCATGGCCCATATGTACGATTACGCTTTATTGCAGAATGGTGGTTTCTGTTATGTTTGTGTGTTTGGTGGGTTCAGGTGACTAGGCTTTCTTGATTGATGATTTCTTTTTAATCTTTTTTTTTTTTAAGCAAATAACTCAGTGACAAATAATTCTTTTTTCTTACCTCCGTGTTGACCTTTTCACTTTTTCTTCGCTTTGGCTCTGTTAGCTCAGCCAAAGGTTTATTTGCTGATGAGTTCCGGTGCATCTATAATAACACATTAGTAGTTCACTGTGATGTCCTCACTTGTGAATTTTTGCAGCCTTCAGATAAAATCAGGACATGGATGAAAATGTATAGATGTTAGAAGTAACATGGTGAAATTCAGTTGCAGTGTTTTACTAAACAGCGTTTGTGTAATTGTGTATAGAATTTGTTTGCCAGATGCTTTTTAGAATAGATGCATAGTTTTTAGGATTAAATGTTTTGTTTCATGAGATTTTTTTCCTTCCAAAGTCAGCAGTGTCCTATTGTGTGGGCAAAAGTTTGTTTAGAAGCATCACGCCTTCTCACGAAAATATTTTCTAACTTCCTTGTTTGAGGGTCAAATTTTCCCACATATCCACTGCTTTAGAACTGGGTTCCATTTTCCTCCTCCCTGGCTTTCCATCCCCTTCTCGGCTGGTCACCGAGGCCCCTTCTGTTGCCTCTTTCTTGGTGCTTCCACCACAGCCTTGGGGTTGAGGCCGTGCTCCTCGCCTGTACTGCTGCCGTGGCCTTGCGTCCACATTCTCTCCCTTCTCACCCACACTCACCCCTGTAGGGTGTCCTCCATCTTCCTTCATCCTGGGGCCACTCGGACACCTTCAGCTCACCAAGCCACTGCACCTGTCGCCGCCGTGTGAATGTAGTGCTTCACCCACCCTGTGGGTGGTACAGTTGCACCCCCTGCAGCTGAGGGACAGACGGGCTGGTTTTGTCCTCCTTCACAGGGGAGCGGGGAACTTGGAGCAGGGCTGCCTCGTTGCTCAGCAGTAGGTTCAGGACTCAGACTCAGGTTCTGGCTCCAGGTCGCGTCTGCAGCTTCCTCCAGGCCCTCATAGTCCAGTCCCAGGCTTCCTCTCCCACAAGACGCCTGTGTTGTGCTGACGTCGAACGAGCAGTTCGCTGAACCTGCCGCCTGCCCCCGCCTCTCTGCTCCCTGCCTTTTGTGCCGCCAGGCTCTGCTTGGAGCCATGTCTCTCCCCCGACTGCTCTCTGCAGCGTCGGGCTTCTGGGCCCAAGCCACGTGCCTCCGCTGTCACACAGAATCATCCTGCCCCGGAGAGAACATGTGCCCTCACTTACATGGCCCTCATATCCCTCTAGCTTGGCCTTGGAGTTTGGGTACAGGCCCACATTTTTTCCGACAGGTTAAGGCTGTGCGTGTTTTCTTTCGTCATATCCCTGGGAGCAGCCCACAGAGATCTTTGCCGTTTAAGGAGAGTATCAGTAAATATCAGCAAATTAAGCCCCTTTATGTAATGATGAATAGCAACCACCTGTATTTAATCATTACCAAATAGATTTCAGTTTAGCCAAAATATGCTCTAAGATGAGTTTGTTATTGAATCCTTTGTTTTGTTTGGTTTAGCTGTATCCCACAAGTGTCGAGGTGTTGTGTATTCATTTGCATTCAGTTCAGAATATTTTCCAGTTTCCCTTGTGGTTGTTTTGGGCTCATTGGTTATTTAGAAGTGTGTTGCTTGTGTTATTTGCCAACTATTAGGACTTTCCAAGTATTCTTTCTATCGTTAATTCTGCTGTGGTCAGAGAACATACTCTGGACAGTTTCAGTCCACTTAAAATGGAGGGAGGCTTGATCTGTGGTCCAGAATATGGTCTGCTGTGGTGAATGTTTTATGTGTACCTGAAAAGAATGAACATTTTGCTGCTGTTTGGTGAAATGTTTTGTAAATGTCAGTTAGGTCAAGTTGGTTGATAGTGTTGTTGAGGTCTTCTGTATCCTTATTGATTTCTGCCTACTGTTCTATCATTTACTGAGGGAGGAATGTTGGACTCTCCGACTATAATTACTTCTGTCATTTCTATCATTTCTTGTTTCATGTATTTTGAAGCTCAGGCATTAGGTTTAGATAGACTTAGTATTATTATGTCCTCTTGAAGAATTGACCCTCTAGCATTATGAAATGTTTTTCTTTATCTTGATAAAGATAATATTCCTTGTTAATATTCCTTGTTCTGAAGTCTACTTTGATACAAATTTAGCCATTTCTTTTTTTAATTTTATTAGTCTGTATGATATATCTTCTTCCATCCTCTTTAAAAACCTATTTGTGCCTTTATATTTAAAGTGGGTTTCTTATATATAGCATATGCATAGTTGGGTCTGACAATATATGTCTTGAGATGCTTAAACCATTTACATTTAATGTATTTATTGATATGGTTAAGTTTACATCTCCTAAACTGCTATTCATTTCTCTTTCTGTCCCTTTTGTTTTTTTGGGTTTTTTTTTGTGGTACGCGGGCCTCTCACTGTTGTGGCCTCTCCCCTTGTGGAGCACAGGCTCCAGACGCGCAGGCTCAGTGGCCATGGCTCACAGGCCTAGCCACTCCACGGCATGTGGGATCTTCTCGGACCGGGGCATGAACCCGTGTCCCCTGCATCAGCAGGCGGACTCTCAACCACTGCGCCACCAGGGAAGCCCTGTCCCATTTGTTTTTGTTCCGTTTTTACTCTTTTCATGACTTCTTTTGGATTGAGGGGGTTTTTTAGATTCCATTTTAATCATTGTTGTCCACTGTTGTCTTATTAGCTGTGTCTTTGTTTCATTTTTTTTTTTTCGCGATTGCTCTAGGCTTTACGGTATACATCTTTAAATTTTCACAGTCCATCTTCTGATAATATTATACCACTTCATGTATAATGCAGGAGCCTTTACAATAGTGCACTTTCATTTTGCCCTTCCGTACTTTTTGCTGCTGTGTCATACATTTTACTTATACATGTATTATACATCTCACAATCTATTGTTTTAGTCTGTTCAGGCTGCTGTAACAAAATACGAGAGATTCAGTAGCTTATAAATAATGGAAATCTATTCCTCATAACTCAGGAGGCTGGAAAGTCCACAATCACAGTGCCAGCAGGATAGGTGTCTTTCTGCCGTAAGCTCACATGGTGGAAGGGAGGAGGGAGCTCTCTGCAGCTGAGGACCGCACCTCCTATTGCCATCATCTTGGCGATCAGGGTTTCAACATATGAATTGGTGGGGGGGCAGACACATTCAGATCATAGTATATATTAATATCATTTTTGCTTTAAATAGGCAAAAATATCTTTTATATTTACCCAAATACACACCACTTGTGTGCTCTTTCTTCCTTTTGTGTGGATCTAGATTTCTATCTGGTATCATTTACCTTCTGCCTAAAAAAATTCCTACAGCATTTCTCATAGTACAGATTTTCTGGTCATGAATCTCTAAGCTTTTTTTTTGCCTTCAATTTAGAAGGTACTTCTCTGGATAAAAGATTCTAGATGGACCGTTTATTCTTGTAGTACTTTAATGATAGTTCTCCATTGTCTTCTGTCTTGTGGAGTTTCTGATGATAAGTCTGGTGTCATTCATTATTCCTTTGAGCATACTGTTTTGTTTTCTGACTGCTTTTATTCTCTTTTCACTGCTTTTCAGCAAGTTGACTGTGGTGTGCCTTGGCATAATTTTCCTTATGTTTATTCTGGTTAAGGTTTGTTGAGTTTTTTAGGTCTTTGGACTTATAGTTTGTATTAAATCAGGAAATTTCTCAGCTGTTATTTCTTCAGATATTTCTTCTGTTCTCCCTCTCTCTTCCTTCTGGGACTACAGTTATACCTATGTTAGATGCTTGATATTGTCCCGCAAGCTACTGATACTGTGTTCAGTTTTTTTGTTTTTGTTTTCCCTTTGGATAATATTTATTACTATATCTTCTAATACTAATCTTTTCTTCTGCTAATCCTAGTAGCCCCAGTATATTTTTCATTTCAGATACTGTATTTTTCATCTCTAGAAATTCCATTTGTGTCTTTTTATATCCATTTCTCTAATCATGATAATATTTTCTTCTACCTTCTTGAACATCTAGAATGTGTTTATAACAGGTGTTTTAACAGCATTGTCTTCTGGTTCCATCATATCTGTCATTTCTATATCTCTTTCTCTTGGTTAAAATTTTTATCTTGGTTGTGGGTGATATGTTACTGCTTCTTTGCATTCCTAGTAGTTTTTTTTTTCTTTCTTTGTTGGATGCTGGGTATTGTGAATTTTATGTTGTTGGTTGCTGGGGTTTGTTGTATTCCTTTAAATAATGTTGGATTTAAATTTTTTTCTGGTATATAGTTAAGTTACTTGCAATCAG